AAACTGACCATGCTCTTCTCTGAAACTAGATTTAAGGCGAAGTGAACTTTCAAAAGCTTGGGTGTTTGAATAAGTAAGCATTACGAAGTTGGGCTCTTATCCCGATTGCTGGACTAGAGTAACTCTAACTGGGTAGATCAAATCCATCAAATAGGCCTCTGCTGAATAAGTAAAAGCTTCGCGCCAAAGCCAAATTAGTTGAACTTCTCTGTCCCTTTCCCCACTTTTTGGTTCCCGAACCATGGCAGTATTATCAGGTTTGTATACCCATCAGGTGAGATGCTGTGTAAATCATGGCTTATATGAATTTATTCATTTCTGACTGTCAGGCTCGTCGGGTGTTTCTCACTGCGGCTCGTTCCCTGCTGACTTACGGAAACAGAACTCCTCCAGAATATACTTCAACATCAAATGTTCACAGTGCACAAACGCCTTACAGCTCTGATGACTTTTGTCCGAGAGAATTTGTGGATGTGGAAATCAACCGGACAGAAGCTCCGTTGGCTGCTTGGATTCGGAACAAATTGGCACCACTTTTATACCCAAATTTGGTTGTCGGTCCAGAGCCTTCTTTAATCCCTGTAAGAATGACCCTAAGCGAAGCTCCAAGCATACCACCAAGGAGTGCGCAGGTAGTGAAGAAAACCACGGCAAAGCTTCCGACATCTAAGACTATCGAAACCATGTCTTGTATGACTGTTCGGCACTGTAAAAATATTTCCAATAAAAGTCGCTCTTCATCACCAGCTTTCAACCAAAAGACCTCTTCTGTCGCAATGCTTATGGACCAACCACCGACTCCTCCACCGAGAAGAAAGATTTCTATTGTACAAGAAACTGAGTTTGCTAATGAACGTCAATCTGAATCCGAACATCCTCACTTTTTCCGAGTTGCTCTGGAGCCTGCTTATGATCTGGTGCCCCTGTCTGAGTCTGAAAATTATAGCAGTATGAGCGAATGTGAAGAAGACGAGGATGTGGATCGGCAGCGGGAGGATTTCTCCGACTGTATGAATGAACCTACTTACGGTGGTCGTTCCTTAGGGTCTGAAGCCGAACTAAGAACTGAACAGAATGCCGTCCTGCGGTCGGCTCTGCGACGATGTTCTCGTTCGCTGCGACCACTTCTTCCTGTTCCTGCCTTATCTATGGTAATGGATGCGTTTCGTTCGACGAAGAAACTTCCCAGTGCTGATGAATACTACGAGTCAATCGATTGGATACGTGGGCCCATTCTTGGCCACGGAGCATTTTCTCATTGCTACCAGGCTAGAGACACAAGAACGGGCTTACTCATGGCTGTGAAGCGGATTCGGTTAGGTGGCGGATCCGTATTTCCTGTGCCAACTGATAAATCTAAGGCCAATAAAGTGCCCGGCTCTGAAGGACTTGTTAATGGTGCTAATCCAGACGGGCCGCCTAAAGGCGAAAATCCTCGGCTGCAGAAGACCAGTGGAGTTTTGTCCGCAGAGGCCGCTGCACAGCTATCCGAAGTACAGGCGGAGGTAGATATCATGATACGATTAAGTCATCCCAACGTCCTTCGTTTGTTTGGCGTGGT